TTACAAAAAAATAAGACTACAATGCATTCCTATTTAATCCTTCATTCAACTACTAGCGTCTCTCAGTTAGTTAGCTACTATAGTTGGTTACTTTATCATAGGCACTTCAGAATCCTTTTTTTCCCTTCCGGCTTGCCTCACAAACATGGTAACGACCGTTGCAGCAGGTGGCCGAGTCCCCTAATTTTTTCCCCTATTTCGTTTCCTTTTAGCCTGTTTTGCATTATGGATAGCGCAAAAAGGAAATCTGGCTTTTAATTACAGTCTCAAATGAGGAGAAGATAAATGCTGTAGACCCTGGCACGTGTTAACGATGGCTAAAGTTACAGACTATGGCGTCGCTCATTTAAGTAAGTCCAATTAATATAATCAAATTCTTAAGAAATTCATAAAGCGGAATTTGTTGTTTCAGTTTTGGCTTCCTCGTGTGTTGATTGCAGATGCTGCTCAGATTAGTCTGAATGTCTTAATTGACTACTAATTAGAAGGAATTGCTAATCAAAACGGTATGTTCTGGTAGACATGAGACATTATAACGTTTGAATCCCAGAACCTTAAAAATATATTCAAGATTCGAAAACTCAAACCTTTTTTTCCCCCATGATTTTAGTTTTTTGAATCTTAACCTAAAAGGTCGTTAAATTTTTAACTCAAGATTCTAAACATTCAAGATTCGAGAGGGTCGGAAACATTTTAAAACAGGGATTCGAGAAAATTTCGGGTTCACCACAACTCTACATCCTAGTTATTATAGCCAGATTCCAATATAAATTTCTTCACTGTATTATTTATCTATTACAATATTTCGTATTAGCTCTATAAGAGAATGTAGCTCTTTCTTTCTACACTTATAACCTTCGATAATTTACACAATGAAGAGTAAAAAGAAAAATAGATTACGTAAATGAATGCATTTTCTTCGGTAAACAGAATTTAGCCTTTTAGGAAAACGGGCTGTTTTGAGAAATGATTTCGAATTCATAAAATTTAATAACCAGAAGCTCAGAATGTTTTTAACAATTTTTCTTTCAATGGATATGATAAAATCAAATATTAACTTCCACTCTATTGCAAGCGTTGAGAACCATAACTACCAGACAGATGATTTATGGTTTCCTTGTACCTTCTCATTACAGTTAATAGGAACTGAGTTGAAAATTTTAAATAAACCTGGGTACTTATGTATTTTTCCATTCACTGTAAAATTTGGCGGATATCTCGCTAAATCTCGGGCAGCCATCCGGGCGAAAATTTTAACAGGTAATCAGAGATTGTTCTTCATTCTAATTTGTAATTAGCAGACACATGTTACGGATATCTTATAGTATAAATATAAATAGATATAAACTCGAAGTCTGAGATTTTTTAAAAACAAATTCATTCGAGCTGGAACCAATCACTACGGTCATTAATTTCTAATGGAATTTAAAATAATGACAAGATTTTCATCTTCTTTTTTGAATTTAGAGCTGTACCTATTCGCTCATATACGAATCTTTGCCACACCATTTTGCCAATCCCATTGTCTTTCAATGTTCTAAGCATGTGCACCAGTATAAAAAATCGGTAACTTTAAACATACTCCACTGCTTTCTATAGAAGGCAGACTCCAAATTTTAATAAATATTTCAAAATACGCGAGGAAAAACAGAGAAACTTGTATCCTTTTTTAAAAAAACCTAAACTGCTTATAGAGGATTCAGGTGATACAAAACCAAATTGAAGCTCTTAATGAGAGCGTTTTTACTTCTCGCTTATTTACATATTGCCGGCACTCAGTCGCACTGTTTGACGACAGTTCTTATTTGTAGAAAATGGTCGACACGTTACCCTGATGATTACACAGTCTGTAAAATAATTGAACATACGAGTACATGTCGCTGCATGCGGGAATACGAAGAACCAGTTGCATGCCTGGCTTTTAAGGAAGAGGAATAGGTATAAAGAAAAATTATAATCTTTCCTAAGACAAGCGAGCACGAACTGCGGTAATGGTCGTCGAAATTCAGTACTAGTACGAGTATTTATGTTCTCCGAAATGCTGGTCACTTTCAGAAATGGTCGCCTTAGAGAGGTTGCCTCACAGCAGGGTATAATGTATTTTAAATCCGAAAAGTAATGATATAATTTGAGTATTAATGAGTCAAAACGCATGCTCTGACGAATTTATGAAAATTGGTTAAAGATGTAAAGTGATCATACCGTAATAAACAAATAATTTGTTTAAGTTGATGAATGTCGTAATAAATAGTTAGCTAAAAACGTTTTATACATATAATCATACTTGTACAAACGGAAACATGCAGAATAGATGTAACTTTTATCTTTATTTCTGTGCTTTTTGAAAATATATTATCCTAAAGAATATGATATATAAGAGATTGAAACTGCAGGGTTATGACACAAGCAGCTGATGAGCGTGTCGTCATGAAACGGCTTCAGAGGCTGCTTGCGCTTGCTCCAGTAATGATTCCTTTTATGAGGAATAGCTTTCTGCACCGCATCCCTTTTCGCAGTACTGCATCAAGTTAATTTTCTTTCAAACTCTTTCACGTTTCATAAGAATGCTTTCATAAAGGCGAATAAAATATAACTCTAAAAGTTACATTAATTTCGTTTATATGAACCACGATAAAAAGTTGCATTTGACCTACGACCAATCCGCCAATAGTTAACAAACAGTATATCTACGGCAGGTAGGAGAATAGGCTATCTGCCCTGGCATAGAGCCGACATAATTTGGTTCCTTCTTTCCACGCGAAAACCCCATTACACTCGAATGGCGCACCGTTTCAAAAGAAGGAACATGATGTTCTTTTTAATACTTTAGAATAATAGATAAATACTATATACTTGAAAATGTTAATGCATAATATGTTAGGGACTAGCCTAGTCCGTCTAGCACATAGACGGCACATCACTGCTTGGGACAAATGTCCACCTAAAATAAAATATTAAATACAAAGCAATACACTCTTTCTAAGCTTTGGATAGCCTTCAGTATTTCACGATGTAATGGCGGCTAGCAAAGCTAAACCCGATAATTCACTTAAACAGCAGAAATATGTGACAGAGTAAGTGGCCAGCGATAACTGCCAAAGAATCTGCGCTTACATACGTTAAACTAATTTACATCCTAGTGAAAGTGGTAGAAAGCAGAAGCGATAGCATAGATGACAGGTGAGAGCATGTCCGGACACCTGTGCGGCTTGTATAGACTAACTAGGTGTCGTCCGGATCCCGCAACTATCTGATGCTAGACTCTGAAATCAAGATCATGGCAACACAAGAGCAAAGTATCAGACTTTTCTGCTTGCGAAATTAAATAGTCTCCTGGTTACATCGCATGTTAACACACTGCTACACATACTCGGTACACTAAACATATGTTACCGTAAAAGACCGAAATTTGAGAATGTCGACTTTCACCGGAGAATGTCAACATTCACCAAATACCCTCACCGGTGTATGTCGACAATCACAGATATGCTCTGGTGTAGGTCGAAAAGAGAGGAGTATATGTACACGCGGCCATTCCAAAAGGAAGTGTTGCACAAATAAATGCAGTTGTAAAAGCAGGGTCCTCTTGTGCAATTCAATGTGTCATAACAGTTTTTGTTGCAATAAATAAAATTTTAATCGCATAATTCGGTAAGTTTATAACTTCTATTATTTTCCTTTCTCATTTTGAATGTACTGTGTGTTTTAAGTTCTTACATTCTTAAGTTCTTATTCTGAGTCTCAAGTGCGTTTTTTCGCGAATGAATTACGGAGAAGGAAATATAAATATTTTTATATGTTCAACATTCACCATTAATACATGGTGAATGTCGACATTCACCGGTGTAAGTCAGAAATAAGAGTATATTTGGAAAATATTTCGGGCATACACCAAGCAACTATATGAATGTTGACATTCACCGGTAAAAGTCGACATTTTCCAGATTTCGGTGTTTCACCGTAACATATACATTGCATTGATCTTTGCGCTGTACTTACGGCACATTTACAAAACTTATTGCTACACTTAATACACTATATATTCTATGCTACACATTACGCTGAGCATTATTCTTGACAATTCAACATAGATTCCGAATAATGTAATTGATTATCACAGGCATGCGAACCATTTAAGTATTTCAGGCTGAAGATTAAAAATATCTTGTTCCGTATTATTTTTGCAGCACCCAATTTTCGAATGTAATGATATTGCATTATATTACGTTTTATTTATCTTGAGCAACATGTACAAAGTACTTATGCAAAGAGAAGAAATATTTAAATGCTTATCAGGAATTAAATTTCAAAAGATATACAATAAAAAATTTTCGCTGTGTTTAATTAGCATCAAAAAAAGGGGGAAGTGATGAAAACGAAATAAATAAGTTATCCTTTTCTACACTGATTAAAATATTTTATGAAAATAACTTTTACGTATCACAATTTTCAAAGCGTCTAATTTTCGATTATCCGAATAAAAGAAAGACAGACAAGAATATTTTTAGCATTTTGTTGTACCTGAATGGCAGCACAATGAAGCGTCATGCTTATGAATCCATGAAAAGTATTTCAGTCAGTTAGCAGCAAAGAACAAAGCCCCTGTTGAAGCAAATATTTGATCAATATTTGATCAACAGTGGCCGATTTCGTTTGGTCTTCTTGTAAGAATAATGTATCTTGTGTAAAATAATAAACTCTTAATCGCAACAATACCGGCGATAGAACGTCACAAAGAAAAATTACTATCAGATCTGATGATCATTTCCAACAATATATTTTTTGGTTTTCTATGTTGGCCGATCATGATGAGTGGTTCTTATTCTGTAACATACTTATTTCATTTCATTCACTACAAGGCGGGAAATTTTTTTTTCATATCACATAACAATGGCGTTTGACTAGTCCACTTCTAAGGCCACGTGACAGCGAGACAGACGAGAAAGGTCGCAGAGAAAGTTTTTTGAATGGGGGCGGAGCTTTCCCTTCTTGAACTTCGATCAACCTAGTTTCCGTTTCAAAACCCCACTATATAAGCTCTGAAGCCGGCAGTATGGTCATACACCTAAGAATCCTAAGAAAAGGTACACACACATAAAGGAATTGTAACTTGTTCCATTCTTTTACCAAAATGAACCAATTTGTGGTGAGTCATACATTTATTTCAAATATTTACTTATTTTTTACTTTTTATGTTTTTATTTTGTATGTATGTTAAAACAATATTTGTAAGGTCTTACAGGAAACTATTAATTACCAGGAAATCAAAAAAGAGTTCTTAATTTTGTCATCTAATGACGAAGAAATGCAAATGAGATAACATTAATAGTACGTTTTAGAATATTTTTTCGGCATTACGTTTGCAAATGATTAATAAATGGGAAATATATGGGAGCAGAATAAAAGAAAGTCAATTTTGCAGAATCAAATGCTTTTAAACCAGCTAAATTGTATGCAAAACATGTGTTAGAAGAGAAAGAAATAAAGTAAATTTAAAGCTTTTAATATGACTTTAATTCATTATAATAAAATTATGATAATAAAAATGAATATATTTTATAGCATTACATTAAAAAAGGATACGTTTCATATAACCTACGCATTATAATATATTATACGAAAATGTAATCTATTCCATTAACTGTAAAATTCGACTCAAAAGGATTTAAAATCTCTTAAACAACAGAACCGAAATCAAATATAAAATAGTAAACATTTCGGGTGAAGGGATATATAACTAAACGAAGGAACAATTTTTAATGCATTTATAATTGCTTGAAAATTTTATTAGAATTGGTAATTAGCATTTATAACCAATTATATTACGTATTTCCTACTGAAATGTAAGAATCTCTAATTGCTCCATACTTAGTCTGATATAAACCGTGTAAAAGTAAGTGAGATAAATATGTTAGAAGTAAATTATTCAGATTCAAATGTTATATAAATTACATTAAGCGAAAAAAATGATGTACATCACTATTTTCTAGATTTTATATATGCATGTTTTCTTAAAATGAGAACGCTGCCATCGTGCGAGATACCTAAACAAAGCCAGATTTGAGGAATGAATTTTCCTTATCCCACACTGCTAGTAAAACAAAAATTCCTATTTAACAAAACTATTTTCTTCTTAGTTTTATTCAAATAAAATGACATTCAAATTAACTTTTAGTCAAATTTTAATGCGATCTTAAATTACTTCACTCTAACGAAAAGAAGACAACTGGTTTATTACTAAAACAACTGCTTTATTATGCATGAACTTAATTCGACTCGTATAAAGATCTACTCTTATTTATAAATGCTTTGTGTCTTTCTTAAGTATTTAAAAATTGAAGTAATTTAAATGCAGATGCAGAAAAGATAGTGAAAATTTATGTTATCGACTAACGATGAATATAAAGAAGGAAGTTCAACTCTAAGGCGGTTTTCACATGCTGGCGTAAAAAATTCCAAAACTAATTCTGGTTTATAAGACTTTATTACAAACCGTTTTTTTACTTTCCGCTTTGAATACTTTAGCAAATCAGCTGGAAGTATTCCTGCGGCATTTACCTGATCAATGAATCAATTAAATTTATGATTTTTGTTTACAATTTACATACTCCTTATTTACCACTTATTAAGGATAATATTATTCTGCACTTGTTAAGTAGAATAATTTATTTATGTAAAGAAAAGCACATTGTTTTCGCTCTAAATTAGTATGTTGTTTGTTCTTTGTCAATTCTGGTTCAAAATTAATAAATTAATATTAGAAACAAAGACTTAATAATTTAATCAATAAACATTCCAAGATTTATAAATGTAATCAAAGTGAGACAGAATTACATGTAAAATTTTATTCAATTCAAATGCGAAAAACTAAAATGCAGAGGAATATTTAATTTTATACTTTGTCTGAAAAATAATATGTATTAATTTGGTTCAAGTAAAAAGTATGAAAACTCATATTTATCTCGTACTATTTAGAACCCAGCCCCCCAAAAAAGGTCTAGCAATAAAAAAAAATTGGTTTAACAAAATAGAAATAAGTTACATAAGTAAGGTTCAGTTTCATTAAAGTAATTTTTAATCGCAATCGGAGAGATCAATCAAATGATTTAAGCAATATAAAATATTTCCCATGCCAAAAATATATATTTTGCATTTTACTGGCAGTTAAAAGTAATTACCATCAAACTGTAAATGAAATTTAAAGAAAAGTTATTTTGAAATAAAAAATTATTATCAGAAGGAAATCAATAACGCTGTTAATTAATCATATCAGCCTCAAATCAAAATAACATATTACCATCGTAAATTATACAATTCTTTTATTTAAAATAGAATTTCGAATCAATCAAACAATCTAAGCTATGTAAAGCTGTATAATATTTAGTTAAAAATTATACTCCTATATCTTCATTTTATAAAAGAAATTTAATGTAGAGGCAGCAGTATTTATAGGACAAGCCTAACACTCCACCCTAAAATACTGAGTCACTAAAACCAAGAAATATTGTATTTCTTTTTGGGATCCACACTCAATATGAAGGAAAGACCGTACTGTCTGAGGTTTTGGTGATCTTTCTTCTGTAGCTTATTAGCGGTACAGGGAATAAAACCGCTAAACTTCATTACTTTGATCGCTATTAATGACAATGTGCTGTCTACCCATGTAACATAAGTTTATACGTTTATATGTATGCGAGCTAATTTCTACTAGAAAGTCATCCAGGAGCGGCTGAACGGTAACACAGCTCAGCATTGGTAGTTCATCCTCGGTTCAAATTCCGAATAGCTTCGTAAGAGTTTTTGTGGTTTCCTTAAAGTTCTTTTAAAAACCCCTCGAAGAAGGCATCTTTTTCTCTATGTAAATAGCCCTCTGGAGCTTTGTAATTTTGCTCCATTAGAAGGTCCCTCCCGAAGATATCCCTTCTTTTAGGAGGCTAGCTCTATCATGGTTTACCATGAGGTAATAAATTCAAATTCTTCTATGTATGCAGATTTGAAAAAATGCCGCTTATGAATCATTTTAAACTTTTAATTCTTGCAACTTTTTTTTTTCAATGGGGGGTGGACTCTACCCATTTATAGGCGTTGGCAGCTACTGAGGCAGGAAACTGCGGTCTCTTTATTATGGAGGCACTTAAGAGGTGCGTAGCCTTTGCCCCCTATGAAGGAACGGAAAAATTACATCAGTGCCTATTCCTGGATTTGAACCCGATCCATTCGGTGCGGCAGTCAGAGTCGAGTCACTAAGCACATTTTCGTCTGGTAGGCTTCGTTCCAAAACAAAAAGTTCTGAGTTACTTTATCGTTATTAGTAATCAGTTTTAAAATTGGTGTACAGCGATTAATAATTTGAAACAAGAAAAATAACATATGTATTATTTTAATATGTTGAAATTACACTGACTTTTTAAAGAAAATCTTTGAAATGTATAATAGCAATAATTATTATAATTAGTTTAAAAGCTTTAAATCCATATTAATAATGGAATAATGACTTAATAATCATTGTCATTATTCCATTACTAATGATTATACCAATAATTGAAATAATGACTTTTGTGTCTTAACACTGAGCTTTCATCATGAGCGGAAAATTTTCCGCATCATTCTTCTCTGATTTCTTTTATTACAGCAAAAGTATTTAGAAACCTTTTTCATTTAATATTAATTTTAGCAAATATTTATTTATTACGATGTTAAAATTCTTTTAGCTGTTTCTCTGTTGAGTAAAGTTTGTTTGTTAAATGTATGGATTACTGCATCCTTTACCTAAAGCAGTAGATAAACAAATAGCTTCTATTTTATTATCATACTCATGACAACGAATCTCTTGGTCATATTCTTGATAACGGAGTATCTGGTGCAAAAATGTATCTTATATTGAAAAGTTGGTTGCTTGCCAACGTATCACGACGAAATGTCTGAGATGATAACAAGGTATTATATAAAACAGTTATGTGACATACACATATTCATGCTCACATTTAAAACTTCTCTCCCGAACATTATGACAAAGCTGTCGAGCTAGTTGACAACTGACGAAGCAGTAATCTCGAGGTTTAGAAATTTGAATCTTCATGGTGTTTATAATCCTTTAATATGTATGCAGTTATATGCAGTATATCCAATCTTTAAATTATACTCTGCGAACATTCATAAAAACAACGTTGTATGCCAAGAATTATGCCTATAAGTCATTTAAATTCTATCGTCAGCCTTCCTTTTTATCGCCAGAAGGCGTGCTTGGCCCACCAAGGGCCGAGCTACAAATCCGCTAAACAATGGTTGTTCGAATCCCACGAACGAGTAGGCTGTATGGGCGTTTTGTGGTTTTCTCCATGTGTAACGTGTATGCGAGCCAGTTTGCTTAGAAATCCTCCAGGAAGTATCCCTACCCCTAGGCAGAGAGCCTTCGAGTGCTTTGCCATAATCAAATAAACCAATCAATAGTTACTGAGCAGGCAAGAGGGGTTGACAATAATATTTTGCTCCCTTAGGGCGCCATTACAAATTTCAAATATTCCCCAAAAACGAATCTTTTCAAAACGTAATATTATTTATAATCATAACAGATAAATATAAATAGAGATAAATATAAAAATATGTAAGGCAGATGGAGTGTAAAAAGAAATTCCTTGCTCCACTTCAGTAATACTTATTTCGGATATAGACTAAGTTTGGGAAAATTCTGTAATAAATTCATGATACTTTAAACTAACAATGAAACATTTTCATTATTTAAGAAAGCTTGTTCAATAAAATAAAAAAAACTAAATATTAAATATTCTCGTTAACAAAATATGCAAAAATAATTGTATATTAATTATATATCTTACTTTAAGTTATTAAATATTATTTATTAAAATAAACAAAGATGTCAATTCATTTTTTACTGCAGTTCATTTAAACTTATTCCCTGGAATTATTCTAACTTCATTTACCGATCCCTCAAAGCAAGTTGAAAATGACATCAAAAATTGCAAATTTTGAAATTAAATATCCAGGTAAACTTTTGTCGTATGAGAGTAAAAATGCCTATAATTTTATTTTTTTATAACTAATACAAAACTTTCCAAAATATAAGTTTATCTACTGGAAGACGGCATTAAAAATTAGTTTTCGTTATTTGTCAAAACTAATTACTTTTTTAATTTGACATTGCCAAATCATGGATATTTTCGTCATTTTAAACACTTCTGTAACTAGATATATATGACTACAACCAGCGATTGAGAAAATAAAGGCCGGGAAAGGACTTTTAAATCGGTTGAAGGAGTGAGCATATAGTAATACATTTGGTACTGCCGATTGCAAGAAAAAGGGAGGCCAACAACTAGTACTAAAGCAGTTCCATAGATAAGATTTTAACGTTTTACGGAAAATCGTTTTTGAGCTATGCAAGAAGCATACATACATACTTATACATACAGTTCTAGCACTTTATAAATACATATTGCACAATGGATGTATTTGGCGGGCGTATCTGACAATGTTCTACAATAAATCTAAATGCCACATCTAAATTTCTACATGTGTGGTTTAGCGGTATTTATAGTATATAAATCAATATTCAATCTAATTTAAACGTGAATTTTTTAGAATACTAAAGCATATTAATCTAATTTAGAATCTATTTAACATCTGGTCAGCAGTATTCAAGCTGTATTAAACAAATCGAAAACATGTACCAAAGTTCACACTGTTGCCACTTAGTGTTTTCTAAATCAATGCGCGTCTACTGTTTTTCGCGTTGCCATTTAGAGGCAGAGAATTGTCTGTTCAAACCAAAACACCTATGTTAACATTCGCACGGTTCAAAAGATTTATTTATTTGTTCTCTTGATCTATAGAAGGATGTTCAGTAGACCGTATAGACTATAGAGTATACAATCGTATACAGTTCTCTAAAGCGTTTCAGAAGTACACAAGAAGAAATGCTTTATTTCTATGAAGTTAAAAAATTTTAAATCTCAACAATATTATTCAAAATTACAACTATACTAACAGTTTTTAGTTTGCAGTAAGGATTTTAGATGTTGAAATGAAAGTAAAAATTATAATTCCAATAAAGAAAGATTGCTATTTTCAGAAATGTTCTAGAAATCTTGAGGATGAAAATCAAATGCGTAAAATAGAATAAGTAACTGAGAAACAGAAGTTTTTGTAAATTTCAGTGCGAAGAATACTGGTGATTACTTACCTTTTGATCATACTATGCAGTTAGCAAAGAGTTCTATTGAAATACGGTCACTCATGACTTGAAAACGGCTTCGTTAAGATAATGTCGTAATGATGGCTTTATCATTTCATCTATGATCAACGGTATTCTTACTGTAAGAAAAGAGAAGAATGTAAGAAGGATATCAGAGAGAAAAAGAAACAAAATTACGAATGTAATACACGTGTTTAGTATTTAAAATAGAGATTGATTTAGTTGCCTTGTTAGAATCTGAAATAATAATAGTATTTTGGTTTTTTGAGCACTATCTGACTTTTCTGCACGTTCTGACTAGTAAATTATACATGAGGTTTGAGAAATACTAAAATAGTAACACGAAATCTATTAAAGACTCTTTCTTCTTTTTTGTTCTTCATGCAAAGTTATCAAACCAGAAAACAGCGTTATAAGATGTCCATTTCCTATGGAAAAGGAAATTATGTTAATTTTTTTAAAATGTAACTAAATCTTTGACAAATATTTGTCTTATTTCCTACCGACACTTTCTATCATATACATCAATTTTTAATGTTATGAATAGCATTAGAAATACAGGCTTATTCATTGCCTGCGTATAAACTTATCTATACCAATTACATTAGACTATACGTAATCAACTAATACTTCCTATATTCTAAACAAGTAATTGAAAGATAATAAAAAATTTTAATTTTTACACGTTTTTCTTTTTATAGGTTGCTGTGATCTTATGTGCTGCTACGGCTGTAAGTGCTGGAGGACACGGTGGATATGAAATTGGAGGCTATGGAGGCCATGGTGGTTATGATCTTGGAGGTTATGGAGGAGGTAAAGGTTTAGGCGGAGTCGGAGGAGGCTATGGCGGACTTGGTGGCGGATATGGCAAAGGACTCGGTGGCTATGGAGGTTATGGAAAAGGACTTGGTGGCGGATACGGAGGTGGTTACGGTCTTGGACACAGCATCGGATTTTTGGGTGGTGGCTATGATCTTGGTGGATACGGAAAGGGATTAGGAGGAGGATACGGTCTTGGTGGATATGGTAAAGGACTTGGTGGATATGGTGGTCTTGGTGGTGGATATGGTAAAGGACTTGGTGGATATGGTGGTCTCGGTGGTGGATATGGTAAAGGACTTGGAGGTGGTTACGGAGGCCTTGGAGGAGGATATGGCAAAGGCCTCGGAGGAGGATATGGTGGCCTTGGAGGAGGTTATGGCAAAGGACTCGGAGGAGGATATGGTGGCCTTGGAGGAGGATATGGCAAAGGACTCGGAGGTGGATATGGAGGCCTTGGAGGAGGATATGGTAAAGGACTCGGAGGTGGATACGGTGGTCTTGGAGGAGGATATGGTAAAGGTCTTGGAGGTGGATATGGTGGCCTTGGAGGAGGATATGGCAAAGGACTTGAAGGAGGATATGGAAAAGGACTTGGAGGTGGATACGGTGGTCTTGGAGGAGGATACGGTAAAGGGCTCGGAGGTGGATATGGTCTTGGTGGTGGCTATGGAAAAGAAATTGTAATCGTTGATGGCGGATACAGTCATGGAGGATATGGTCTCGGCGGCTATGGTAAAGGTTATGATCTCGGCGGATACGGAGGATATGGACATCATTAATACGGCCCATTGAATAGAATTGGTATGTAAATCATTAATGAAAACTTTACATCTGTATTTTAAACCAAAGCGAACTTCTTTAAAACATATGAGTAGAAAACTGAAATTCTACACTGTACAGAATACTTTATTTGTTATACATTTTATTTGCAGGTCGCAACAGAATTACACTTTCTAAAAGTTTTTTTTTAATTAAAAATATTCATTTCTTAAAACATTACTCGTTAATAAGCCATACATAATTCAAGTCAACGAAAAAAGAAATTTGCAAACGAAACGACAGTTAAACTAGCTCTAAAGATGTATGTAAATTTAATACTGCATATTTTACATTTAATGACATTATCGAATAACTTTCTCTTTTCTTTTCAGAATGTTCCAAAGTTGCAAATTTATCTTCGAACAGCCAACTTTCAATGACAGAAAAGTTAAAGAAGATAAATTTTGTAAGAAGTCATCATTGCCTTGTGTAAAATACAATAAATGTTTTTATTTATATTTTTACCTTGTCTCATCTAGTGTTTTTTTAACACTTCATAAGGACAGTTAAAACTTTCCCTTTCTTTAGTCAAGTTTGTTCATCAATTATAGGGCAATAAATCTTACCTTATTAAAACATATTTTCTTTATTTCCAAAATATTCCAGGCAGACAAAAATTACATACAATGTAGGTGAAAATATTTGAAAATTCATAGATCCATTTAACTTTCATTCAGCTTTAATACCATTTTATTGTAATGAAAAGTTAGAAAAGAAAATAAAATATATAATATATAATGGATGTGGCAAAAATCTTTCACAGAGTGGTATGTGTTATTCTGATATTTTAATTAAAGTAATAAAGTTTTGAAAATTATTACTATTTTAATTACATTTATAAATGAAGTCATTTCATTTAGTTATTTCCCGTAATAATTTTAAACAGCATAAATTTGAATGCAAATGAATAAACTGAATAAATTTCATTCTTCTTCGAAAAAATATTACAAGAGCTTGGGACTGTAATCTCTTTTTCAGAAAAACAAATCAAACGAATTGGTATATTAAATGACATGACATTCTTCATTACAATGCTTAATAAATACCGATTAAGGACCACGTCTCTGAGGAAAACTAACATATCAATATTTTACTGTGTGAAGTGGACTAACTAATACACAAATAGGTAATAGATGATGAAAAATGTGAAGTTCTGTGATACAAAGACCTCAACAGCAGTTTCTAGAAGATTAAAGCAGATGGTGATTATAACAACACAGAACACTTTCAGGTTGTGACAAAAAGATGAAACGAGCAATTAAAAGGTGGCATTGTGAAAATAATTAACGCTGAAAGACGCAAAATGAATCCAAAAAAGAAGAAAGTTCTAAGGTTTATTTTGAAGAATGAGAATATGATTTAAAAACTATTTCTTAGCTGATATATATTAAAACAACTGCAGAATTGTACGAATTTAAAAATTTTAAAAAAGATTCGCTATATTAAAGATATTAAGGCTGCTATATTAAAGATATTAATTTCTCTTATCGAAGACATAAAGTTACTTAGAGGCCTTCTGACATTCTAAGGCAAGGACTTCAACAAGATCGGTATTGACCACTTGGATTTAAACTTTCACTGAGAACCAGTGGAACAATCCATGGGGATTCAGTTTCGTCCTTGTCATTTTTTATTGATAAGTTGGGATCTTTCTATGGGATCAGCAATGATTCTCTTGTTTTAAATCTTTAATTAAATATTTTAGTTCCTCATTCTAGTTTAATTAATTACAAAATTAATAATTAATTTTTTATTACTATGAAGCTATATCATGTAGTAAGGAAGACATCATATATAATAACTGTAACAAATAAAAGAGAAAAATATACTAAATTACTTAACGAGTTTTAAAATCAATATTTTTTTAGATATATAAATATTTTATGCAGTTAAGGAAATGTACAAAATAAAAGGCAAAAACATAAGAAGGTCTTCCCCCTCCACACACACAGAAAAAAAAAAAAAAAGATAAAAGATTAACATAAATTAAAATGAAGAACTCAAAACTAAAGTAGAAAACAAGAAAAAGACTGAATATTTTTGAATAATGTGATTTATAAATTAAATTAAGCAATATTATGCCAAATATTAAAAATATTTCGTCAATATATCGATAGCAACTATCACAATAATTAAAATCGAACTTTGTGGAATAAGAATTTGTAATTTTATTTCTGGAAACTTGTTTACATTTTCGAAATTAAAAAATTATAATATAAAAATAATAAAACATAAACTAATAAACCGCTTTTTTAAAAACTTTTGTTCAGGTTCTTAGACTAACTGCTTGTTATCCTAAAGTTATTTGTGTGCAATTATTAGAATTATGATCATGTTGTACATTGTGCATTATGGACAAAAGTGTAAGGAGGTTGATGAAAAAAATCCATTCCTTTAAAAGGGATGCAAGAAAAAGATTAAAAATCTCTGATTTGAAGCCACCATCAGCTAACAAGTGAACATGATTGTAAGAAGAACGTTTACAAATGTCTAATAAAATTTATTACTAAGAATGCGTAGAGTAGAATGAAATAAAATATTCATTTCCGGGATAACTATAAAATAGCTGAAAAAAAGTATAATGACCTGTTCAAGAACAAAACCTCTTTTGGAAAGATTCAGGTAATTTTCAGCAGTGAGGAATCTTCCTACAACATTTATCTTCAAATGAAAAAAGTGTTGCCTATGTAATGGATTGGATTGGATTATTTAATTATGGCAAAGCACACGAGGGCTATCTGCCTAAAGGGAGGGATGCCTTCGTGCAGGACTTTCTAAGGGAAACTGGCTCGTATACACGTTACAGATGGGGAAAACCACGAGAACGCCCATGCAGAAAGCCCGTTCGCAGAATTCGAACCTCGAACCGAACTACCAGTGTTCAGCGTCTTTACCGCTCGGCCGCTGGTGGGCCTCCTACTATAATAAGTTTTATATTTGGAAATAATTTAACTGCTGTATACTATTGAAACAAATTATGAATTTAATATCTACTGCCATTAGCTACTCTCAAACGATTTTTCAAAATTTTAAATGAAGTTAAAAACATTTTAACAATATATTTGTAAAATATAATTATTAGTTACTAATCACAAAAATATTTTACTTACTTTTAATATACTTAAGTGTTAATAACCCATTGGGATGGCAAGAAAGTAATTTAGGTTTGCACAAATAGATAGCATTATGTTCGTTTTGTTATTCTTCTGCCAATCTAATTTTTTTTTTTTTTAATTTGGCAGCTGACACTTTTCAAGCTGCTTTAGAAACAAATTCCATGTATTTTTGTTTACAACTGTTAGTTTAGACTCTTTCAACATGGGATGCAGAACCCACCAACGGCCGAGCGGTAAAGTCGCTGAGCACTGGTAGTTCGGTCCGAGGTTCGAACCCCACGAACGGGCTGGCTGCATGGGCGTTTTCATGGTTTTCCCCACGTGTAACGTGTATACGAGCCAGTTTCCATTAGAAATTCCTCCACGAAGACATCCCTCCGCTTAGGGAGATAGCCCTAGTGTGCTTTGCCATAATTAAATAAACCAAATCATGGGGTGTGAAAACAAACATTTTCGACACATTTTATTATTTTTATTTTCATAAAGGCAAAAAGGCAGCTGAGGTCCGCAAACAGATATCTGAAATTTGTGGTGTTCATTGCTTAACCGAAAGCATGCGTCAGAATTTATTTAAAAAATTTCGTTTTCGAGATTTTTCCCATGGCCAACCTTCTGAAGTTGATGATGGCAAATCTGTTAACTGTGCAGAATCATTATATAACTCAGACTGCAGAAAGACTAAATGTATCACGCACGACAGCCGGAAATCACATAAGATGTCTTGGACTCGTTAGGAAGCTCGATATTTGAGTTCTGCATGAATTGAATTCATTCAACAACAGCTAATCAATATTTGCGATACGCATTTCAAACGTAATAAAATCAACCCTTTTCTTTAAACTAATTCTCAACTATGATGAAAAATGGATCGTCTACAATAACATTAATCCAGAAAGCTCATGGTTGAAACCTGACGAATCAGCAAAAATCATATCGAAAGATAAAATGCGCCATAAAAAGATCATGCTGTTAATTTAGTTGAATTACAAAGGTTTTTGTGTTATTTTGAGCTGCGTTTGTGCAACCAGACAATTAACTCAGATGGTTCAGCGCCGGTTATCTGGGGGTCTACGTTGAATAGGTCATTCACCTGGTCCAGTCACATAGCCAAAGTGTGTGGAAAAGCATGCGGAATGATGTTCAAACTTTTCCCAATGCTTAAAAATGATCTATCTAATATTCACACTCCATCTACCAGAAATTATTTCTTCTTAGCTTACGGATACTAAACTTCAGATCCAAAGAATTTATCTAATTTTGCTTGAATATCTATCATCTAATCATAGTGATACTATGATAAATATAGAACAACAAAATGGCGAAGCTACTGCCGATATGAATGTTGTAAAGTTGATTCTAAGATTAAGATTCAAGAGGAATATATTAAATGCATATCCACAAAGTGATACCGTTTTAATAGTATACTTACCACTGAAATGCAACTGAATCTACACATCGTCACTACGAGCTTTATGATCTCTATAAAGTTTATCAAGAATTTTAACGAACTCTACTCATCAGTACGAACCTTAGATTGGCTCATCGTGATGAACTTTATGAATACGAGCTTCAACCGCAATGAACTTTTGTGTGATCATTATTATGAACTTCATTTACTATATGAACTAATGAAATATATGACCTTATACTCATGAAACTTACTTTTGAAATTATACTCATGAACTATGAACTTATGACCTCATGAATTTGACGAACTTTATAAACTATATTTAAAACATATTTAAAATTAGGAAAAATGTCAAAATTAATATATTTTGTCAAACTATATTATACATATATACAATATATGTTTATTATTTTACTTATACTATTTTTACGTTATATTATTTATGCTATGTGCTTATTACTTTACTAGAAGATTTTATAGGTGTATTGAAACCAGAAAAATTATTGACAAAATTTTCATGTAAATTTAACACACCATACTATTGTATATATGCATATGTATGTCATTGATTTTAGCTGTAAAACTGTATGTATGCTGTTGTATAACTATATGTATCTCATTGTATGATAATATCAAAATTTTCAATACATTACCACTAGAGCCAGCTAGCTATAGGGCCCATGCATCAGATGCTGGGTCTCTACGGTTGGTGCAAGCTGTCTGATTGTGCCATCATTACTATCTTGGGGAGGGCTCCCTAAACAATGGTGGACATGATGCAATACCACTTAACAATAATGGTAATGGCATGGTGCCCACATCCTCTGTCACCTGTCATCTTCTGCTCGGATATATGAAGAGGTATGATAATATACCTTCCCGTTGTACTTTCCGTCCTATCTTAATTGGTCTGTCAGATGGAAAATGGCAGTCAAGCAGC